GTGAATAAAAACAATGCTTATTCTCTTGCTATTTAGTATAAAATTTTCCTTTGGAGTGCTACTGCAATCCTTTTAATCATCATTTCTATTTGTTTCCATGATTCATTAATTTCCAAAAGAAATAAAATCTTACACTGTGAAAATACTTCCCCCATTTGTAACACACTTTAATATATGGGTAGAATATACTTGCTCTGGGACACCTGGGTGGCTCAGTCAGTTAAGCATCTGCTCAGGTCATGATCCCAGGGTCCTGGGATTAAGTTCCTGTATCAGGCTCCTTCCTCAGCAGGAAGCCTGCTTCTCCCTCTACCTGCTGCTCCCCCTGCTTGCATACTCTCTCCCTCTACCTGACAAAGAAAATTTAAAAAAATAAATAAATAAAAGGATATACTTGGTCTTACAGATGTTTTCAGAATTTCACCAGTATCTTTCTTATATATACATAAATAGGTGTATATACTTGTGTGTGGGGGGGGGTGTATGTGTTAAATACAGCTTGAGTAAATATCAGATTTTGACAAATTTTTAGAGTGGCAGTTTCTTTTTCAATTACTTTATAGATACTTAAATTCACATGGTTAACAACTCTTGTTTTCAATACATATTTGATATCTAAGATATTTAAAAATCTAATCACTATATTATCTTCATAAAAAAACACTTCAATTATTTTCTACTAAGCAAACAATAAGTAAATGAGTGTAATATATGTATATAAAATAGTAAGAGATCTTTAATAAATTATAATGTACACAAGTTTGGAATTCATGATAGAATTTTTTTATGGAAAAATAGAGTATTAGAAAAGATTCTCATTTATATTTGCAAATATTTTAATAAAAGTATCTATTCCAAAAACTAATATCTTCATGTCCAAAAGAATTAACTTATAAGTAGCTTGATAATAAAATTAAATATCTTCAGAGGGTCCAGTTCAAGATGGTGACATAGGAGGATCCTTAACTCACCTCCTCCCATGGATATACCGAATCTACAACTATGTGCAAAACAATTTCCTCTGTAAGAAATCCAAAAAGTAGCTGAATTACTTCTGTACGTTAGGCTAACAAGGAAAAGAAAAAAAAGTTGAAATGGATAGGACAGGCTGAGACACAATCTAACCATAAACCCCACTATCAATGCAGCAGTCCACAATCATGATGGACACAGAAGCAAAAACCTTCAACAAAATATTAATAAACTGAATTCAATACATTAAAAAGATCATACACCATGATTAAATGGGATTTATTCCAGGAACACAAGAATGGTTTAACATCAGCAAATCAGTCAATGTGAAACACAACATTAATTAAGAATAAAAAGGATATCATCTTAATAGATAAAAAAAGCATTCGGGGTGCCTGGGTGGCTCAGTGGGTTAAAGCCTCTGCTTTCGGCTCAGGTCATGATCCCAGGGTCCTGGGATCGAGCCCCGCATCGGGCTCTCTGCTCAGTGGGGAGCCTGCTTCCTCCTCTCTCTCTGCCTGCCTCTCTGCCTACTTGTGATCTCTGTCTGTCAAATAAATAAATAAAATATTAAAAAAAAAGCATTCAACAAGATTAATATCCATTTATGATAAAATTATCAACAAAGTGGATCTAGAGTAAATGTATCTCAAAATAGTAAAGGCTATATATAACAAGCCTCCACCTAACATCACAGCCAAAGGAGAAATACTGAATGTATTTTCCTGTAAGATCACAAACAAGACAAGGATGCCTATTCTCACCACTTTTATTTAGCATACTGTTCAAATTCCCAGCCAGAGCAACAACACAAGAAAAAGAAATGAAAGGAATGGAAATTAGAAAAGAAACAACTGTCATTATTTGCAGATGATATAAAAAAGTCTAAAACTTCATCAAAAAGCCATTAGAATATAGAATTTACTATTTATACAATAAAAATGCAAAATTTAGTAAAGAATACAACAAAACCAGTATATAAATACAACAAAACCAGTATATAAAAATGTTGGTATTTCTATTCACTAATAATGAGCTAAAAGAGAAATTAAGAAAATCCCACTTACAACTGCATCAAAAACAATAAAATACCAAAGAATAAATTTTATTAAGAAGGGACAGATCTTGGGGCGCCTGGGTGGCTCAGTGGGTTAAGCCTCTGCCTTTGGCTCAGGTCATGATCCCAGAGTTCTGGGATTGAGCCCTGCATCGGGCTCTCTGCTCAGCGGGAAGCCTGCTTCTGCAACCTCTCTCTGCCTGCCTCTCTGCCTACTTGTGGTCTCTCTCTCTGTCAGATAAATAAATAAAATTAAAAAAAAAAAAGGGACAGATCTTGACACTGACAAGTATAAGACATTAATGAAAACAAAGTGAAAAAAACACAAATGGAAAGATACTCTATGCTCATAAACTAAAAGAACTAATATTGTTAAAATATCCATACTACACAAAGCAACATATAGATTCAATACAATCCCTATGACTATTCCAATGACATTTTCAACAGAAATGGAACAAATATTCCTAAAACTTGTATGGAACCATGAGAACCAAAGCAATCTTGAGAAAGGAAAAAGAAACCTGAAAGTATCAAGGTCCCTAACTTCAAATTGTATAACAAAGGTACAGTAATCAAAACAGTATGGTACTTGCAAAAACACAAACAAAAAAAAAAAAAAAACAAAACCAGAAGCAGATCAATGGAACATAGAGAATAGAAAGCCTCACTACCCCCAACCAAAAAAAAAAAATTCATGTAGATATCATCAATTAATCTTCAACAACAGAGCCAAGAATATACACAATGGGGAAAGGCCAGTCTCTTCAACAAATTGTGTTTCGAAAACTGGACAGCTACATACCAAAAAATGAAACTGAACCACTAAATCACACCATATACAAAATTAACTTAAATGGATTAAAATCTTAAACATAAGTCTAGAAAGTATAAAACTTTTGGAATACAACATTGGTGATAAACTCCTTGACAAAGGTATTAGTGATGATTTTTTGGATTTGACACCAAAAGGCAAAGGCTACAAAAGCAAAAATAAACAAGTGGGACTACATCAAACTAAAAAGCTTCTGCACAACAATGTGAAAGGCAACCTAGGAAATAGGAGAAAATATCTGCATATCATATATCTGATAAGGAGTTAGTATCCAAAATCAATTTTAAAAAGCATACGATCTAATTTAAAAAGGGGCAGAAGTTCAGAAAATTTTTCCTAATAAGATATCTGGATGGCCAACAAGTACCTGAAGACGTGCTCATCCTCACTCATTATCAGGGAAATGCAAATCAAACCACAATGAGATACACCTCGCACCTACTAGTATAGCTATTATCAAAAAGACAAGAAATAACCAGTGTTGGGAGCACATGGGTTGCTCAGTCAGTCGCACATCCAGCTCTTGGTTTCTGTCCAGTCATGATCTCAGGATCATGGGATCAAATCCCCCAAAAGGATCTATGCTCCATGTGGAGTTGAGATGCTCCTTCTCTCCCTCTGCCCCTAGCCCCACCCATGGACACACAGGCCCTCCCTTTCTCTCCAAAATAAATCAATCTTTAAGAAATAACAAGTGTTGGAGAGGATGGGGAGAAAAGAGAACACTTGTGCACTGTTGGAGGGAATATAAATTGATGCAGCCACTATGGAAAACACTATGGAAGTACTTTAAAGAATTAAAAATAAAACTACAAAGGGGGAGACAAACTATGAGACTGCGGACTCTGAGAAACAAACTGAGGGTTTTGGAGGAGACGGGCATGGGGGTTTGGGTGAGCCTCGTGGTGGGTATTACTGAGGGCACATATTACATGGAGCATTGGGTGTGGTGCATAAGCAATGATTTTTGGAACACTGAAAAACAAAACAAAACGAAAACAAACAAACAATAAACTACATATGATCCAGCAGTTCCCCTTCGGTTATTTATCCAAAGGAAACAAAACAAGTTCAAAAAAATACTGATGTTTACTTCACAATTACAAGCGTACCTCAGACATTACAGGTTCGGTTCCAGGCCACACAATAAAGTGAATATTGTAAAAAAGTGAGTCAAATGAATTTTTTGGCTTCCCAGTGCATTCAAAGTTCATCTTACACTATGCTGTAGTCTGTTAAGTTTGTAATAGCATTATGTCTAAAACATTATGTATCTTAATTAAAAGTCACTTTATTTCTAAAAAATGCTAGCCATCATTTGATCTTTCAACAAGTCATAATCACTCATCACAGATTGCCTTAAGATATATAATGAAAAAGTTTGAAATATTGTAAGAATTACCAAAATGTGACACAGAACATGAAGCAAATGCTGTTGGAAAAATGCCAGTATATTTGCTATATGAAGGTTTGTCACAAAACTTCAATTTTTTAAAAAATGTAGTATGTGCAAAGCACAAAATCTAAATGCAACAAAATGAGGTGTGCCTCATTCACAATAGCCAAGAACTGGAAATAACCTAAATGTCTGTTAATGGATGGAAAAATAAAATGTGGTCTATACACAAGGCAAATATTATTGTGCCACAAAAAGAAGGAAATCTCGCCATTTGCTACAACGTAGATGGACCTTGAGGACATTATGCTATGTGAAATAAGCCTGGCAAAGACAAATATCCTATGATCTCACTTACATGTGGAATTGAAAAAAAAAAACAAAAAACACCTCATAGATATAGATAACAGATGTATGGTTGTCTGAGTGGGGGTGGGGAGGGGGTGAAATGTGTGAAGATGGTTAAAAGGTACAACTTCCAGTCATAAGAAAAAAAAAAAAAACTAGGTATATAATGTACAGCATAGTCACTACAGTTAATATTGTATGATGCATTTGAAAGCCACTAAGAGAATAGATCTTAAAAATTCTTAACACAGGAAAAAATTTGTAATTGTGTAATGAATATTAACTAGACTTATTGTGATGATCACTTCACAAAATAAACACACCAAATCATTATGTTGAACACCTGAAACTAATGTAATATGTCTATGATATCTCAAAAAAAAATGAAATACCTTCAAATTATATTTATGAGCTTTATCCAAAATAGTTGGTACCAAGTCATCAGTATTTTCTCCATTCTCATCATTTGTACCAGGTGGGTACCAAGACAGGGCTAGTACACCTAAAAGAAAAGACCAAAAAGAAAAATAAATACAGAAGTGGGAGTAATTGTAGATATTCTTAAAAAAAAAAAAAAAAAAAGAAAAAATTAAGGAGGCAGAATAAAGACCAAATTGTAAACAGCCAAAAAGAAACACATCCTCATAAGTTGTTGTTTTGTTACCTTACTAGATAGGATCTATGGTTATTTGATTACTTTATGTTGTTATATTTATGAATTCTTTATCAAGTATGAATATATTTAAGTTAACAGGTTTTACTTTCCAGATTAGGTTTACAGAAAAACTGCACAGGAAGTACAGTTTCCATATATTCTCCTCTTACATACCTGCTCCCCAACCCACATACAGTTCTTGTTAATAATATCTTGCATTTATATGATACACACACACACACACACACACACACATATATATATAATTTGTTATATGTGATGAACCAATACTGGCACATCAACATTATACATATGTACATATATGCATACACATATATGTACATACATGCATAAATACATATATGTATGTATGCACATATGTACACACACATATGTGTGTGTGTATTTGTTACATGTGATGAACCAATATTGATGCATCATTATTAACTATAGCCAACAATTTAGATGAGGGCTCACTCTTTGTGATGTACAGCTGTATGGCTTCTGACAAAAGCATATGTGCCCACCATTAAGTATCATGCAGAATAGTTTTACAGACCTCAGAACCCACTGAAATCCATCTATTTATCCCTCCTCTCTCACTCCTCTCTCAATCTCCTGGATAATAATTGATCTTTTCAGTATCTCTATTGTTTTGTCTTTTCCACAATGCTATCTAGGTGGAATCCTACCAGTAACTTTTTCAGACTGGCTTCTTACACTTAGCAATACATAATAAAGGTTCATTTATATCTTTTTGTATATTTATAGATCATTTTTTTTACTGCTGCATGATAACTCATTGCATGGATGTATGACAATTTATCCATTCACTTACTGGAACATACCATGGATGCTCCTAATTTGGGGCAATTATGAAGATTCAAGAAAAAAAAATAGTTTCTCCTTGTAGTACTTACTTTTGAAATGACACATTACAAAATAAGTTTTATAAACATAAGCCCACAGGAAGAAAAAAAAAAAAACAACAACAAAACTTACTTTGAAGGAATATTTGAAATCAACTATCAAAGCCTCACTTATATATGAAGAAATGAGAGACTAATAGAAAAAGCTGCTTATTTCTATGTTAACCAACACACTTTTTAAGGCATGGACAAAAATACAATGGTACGAAAACAGAAGCATGTGGAAATATAGGAACTGCAAGCTTAGAAACTGGCAGAGAACTAAATTATAATACTTAAACTTTACAGTCAACCTGCCATGTACAGAACAGCCCCATCTAGCGACACAAAACAGAACTTTCATTAAAGTTTACAGGAAAAAAGATGTCTATGTCCTCTATCCACTCTGAAAATAAGAGAGCAGTAAGAACATGAGAAGTAGAAAAATCATCTATAATACATAAAGTGCTTTAGAGAAGCTTATGATTAGCCATGAAGGGAATCTATTATATACAGAAAAATGCCAGTAAGAAAAGTGGAAACAGTTGATCAAACATCTAAGCTGCCTAAGAGTCTAACTTATAAAAAGAACAGTACCAATGGAGAGTCACAGTAAAACAACAACAACAACAACAACAAAAACAAAACTCAATATAACTTAGGTAAAAATCCTACCAAAAAAAAAAAAAAAAAAAGTTGAGACAAAATAGTAAAGAAAGGACATATAAAAGAAAGATTATGCCATGAAGCCTAGGAAAATTGTAAGCATAGCATTCTTCCATGAAATTCAAAACAAAAGATTCCTGTTTCTAGCAATAGATTAGGTTAAACAGACCAACATTTCCATGAAAAAAATATTAAATAAAATATGGATTACAAAAAACTTCTTAGCCAAAGAGCTGAAGAGTAAGGGATTAGCTGTCCAAATTGAGGCAAAAAACATGAAATGAGCAAGGAAGTCAGTCTTCCCAAAACATAATTGGCAGAAGTAAACCAACCATCAAAAACAGTGGATAAAGTCCCAGGTTGACAGCACTTGGGAAATTCTCTAGCTTTAAAGTGAGTAGTGTTTTCTACTGTACTGAACAACACAGATAAAGAACATTTTCATTATCACACTAAGATCTACTAGACAGTATTGCTAGATTGCTGATTCTCATAATACCCTAATCATTTCATTTTTATCTACTGATTTTTCTTCCTCCTTATTCTCACTGAAGTTATACTCTAAGGCTTGAAGAAAATGTTCTTTGTTCTTCATACTTTCAGCTTTTTATTATATCAAATAATCATTTCCAAATGTCTAATTCTATCTCCATACTGTGCTCCACAATCTAATTTTTCCTTGTACAGTATCTTTTGGACTATATCACTCCTGAGTTCTGAATAAGTAATGGCCTGGGAAACAAGTCAGTGATGGTCCTCCTTAGGAGGAGGACTGGACCACTTACAATGGTTATGAATCATCACAGCAACCAGAAGTTTCTCTAACACAAACTAAATATCATTTATAAGTAAGACTACTGCACATTTCTACTATCTCACTTGTGTAGTGAAAAGGGATATTCTTTGAGGTCTTTTCTCAGAATAGTAGCATTTCATTTTATTATTTTAAAAAATATTTATTTATTTACCTTAGAGAGCACAAGACAGTGTGCACAAGTCAGAGGGAAGGGCAGAGGGAGTGAATCTTCAAGTAGACTCCCCACTAAGCTCAGAGCCCAACAAGGGACTCGATCTCATGACTCATGAGAGTACGACCTGAACTGAAACCAAGATCAAGCACGTAAGTGACTGAGCCACCCAGGCACCCCTAACATTTTATTAAATGCAGATGTCGTATCAATCATGTTGTTCCTCCAAAGCACACATCACAGGGCCTTCAATATAAGTGATACCCACTCTTGTGTGTGTGTGTGGGCACATGATGCATCTAAACAGGATAATAGTTAAGAACATAAGATATGAAATCAGACAGACCTAGAGACTCAAGTTTCCATTCTATTATTTGATAGATGTTTATCTTTAATTTAAATTTCCATTTGTAAAATGTGGATAAGTTCAGATCATTCCCTAAAAGTGTGTTTTTAAAAGTATAGAGAATGACTTACATAGAATAAGACCCCCAAAAGTAATTACAAAGATGATAATGAAAAGATAATGGCAAATAAATTAGGATACATTTAACTCCACAGAACTTATGATAGCTTCCCTTATATTCAGGTATGTAACTTACTGTTTCCTTTAAACATATCAAACATTACTTCAAACTAAAGCTTTAGCAGAAAGGCAAGCCCAGTTCCAGATATAAACAATATTATCACTACACAAGATAACCCATGTTCAACAAAAAATATAAGGCATATAAAAAAGCAAGGAAAAAAAAAAAACTGTCAAGAGGCAAAACAGGCAACAGAAGCAGACTCTGATATGAATCAGATGCTGAAATAATTTGACAAGGAATATAAAATTACTGTGATTAAAACACTAAAGGATCTAATGGTAAACGACAGCCATTATATGTCGATCATCAGGTGGGAAGTTTCAGCAGAGATGAAAACTCTAAGAATCAAATAGTTCAAGGAAAAGTAGGGTGACCCCAAGCTCACCTCCTCCCATGGACACACCTGTGAGATAATAGCTACATTTATGTAACTAGTTCTGAAAATGATCTGAAGACTGACAGAAAAGACCTTCCACAGTTAATCATACACAGGGAGTCACATCAAAAAGGTAGGAGTGGTGGAGTCACAGTTGGGAATCAAAATACTGGGTGAGATTAACCACAAACAGTACTCACACTAGCAAAGAGAAGGGAGAGGATTAAACCTCACACCAGGCAAACAGAACACTGGGAAATGCCCTAGGAAGATGAGTCGCCATAATATCTGGCCTTGAAAACCAATGGGGCTTAACTTCAGGAGCTTTTAGTATCAGCAAAACTTAACTCCACTTATTTTGAAAATCAGCTAGGCTTAACTTCAGGAGAGTCAGACAATGATAGGAAACAGAGTCCTGCCTTTAAAAAGACAGAATAAAAAAAAAAAAAAATCAACCAGAACCAAAGCATAATAGCAGCAGTTTGAAAAGTACCTGTGGTATACATGAAGGAGAGTTACTTACTAATCTCAGAACATATGTTTGAGGGGTAGGCATCATTAGGAACTTCTCTAGAAACAAAAGTACTGGTGGGTGCCATTTCTCTTCCCCTCTCCAATGCTAGATAGCCAGACACTTGCAGGAACCAGCATAACACTACCTATTGTGCTATCACTATTTACCTGCAGACCTGCTGATCCAACCCTCCTGCATTGGCAAGCATCCCACCAAAGTGGTCCTGCCCCCCCCCCCCAATAACCTGCAAGTAGCCCCACTAGGGACCAGCACCACTCAAAAATGGTGCCTACCCTGGGGAGGGGGAAGATAATCCCATACAACAGAATGCCCACAGTTCCTGCATCAAAGACTCTTCACTGGCTGAGCAAAAAGTAAAGTTTGCTATTTGGTATCCCACAGTTGTGGCAGGCTAAGTTCAGAGAGCCTGACTACTGACCCCACCCACCTATGAGACTGCCCGGGCCTCAAACAGACTTCTCAATTGTACAAAATCTGCCTTGTTTGCCCAAAGTAGGCAAAGCAGGTCACTGCAGTTGGCTGGGCTGAAGGCAAATGCAGTTCAGTCACAACATTAGGGCACACATAGCATGCAGAGGAGAAACCCCAGGAGTACCTGTTTCTGGTGACCAAGGGGGTACTGACAGGGTATCACAGGACTTCTACAGAAAGCACTACTTTTAAGACCAAGAGACATAGCTGACCTCCCTAATATATGGACACAAACAGAGAGTTAGACAAAACGAGAAGATGGAGAAATATGTTCCAAGTGAAAGAACAAGACAAATCACATCAAAAGAGTTCAATGAAACTAAGATAAGCAAA